CCATCATTAGATGTTTTTAAGTAAAGGAGATTATTCTAGATAATCTTGGTGAACCTGACTAAATCAGTTGGAAGACCCTAGGAGCAGAGCCAAGGCTTCCCTGAGCAAGAATAATTCCACGTGTAGTCTTTGCACATACTGTGTCGGTTGCTTAGAATGCTCTCCCAGCAGGTGTTCAAATGGCCGACTTCTTCACTTGTGGACGGAAGCGTTAGCTCAAGCCCTTCCTGACAGCCTGCCCTGTGGTTTTCAGACTTGCCTTCAGCCCCCATGATCACATGAATCAATTTCTTGCAAAACCAGTACCTTCACATATATCTCCTACTGGTTCTCTTTTTCTGGCTAAACCCTGACTGATACACCAGATACATCATTTCATCTGGAAATAGTTTAGCAAGTATCTAAATGGTAAGGATTCTTGAAAAACAAACAAAAAACAACCCACAATTCCATCATCCCCCCTAAACAAAAATTAAAAGCAGTTCCTTGATATCATCAAATGTTCAGGCCTCCAGTTATCACATTATTTTATAATACTAAAAATATTTCTCAGCTACTGATTTTTTTTTAGCATCTTTAGTGAGGGGGAGAAAAAGAAATCGCAGTGGGGGAAGGAATTTCTCCTTGGCGCCAGCAGAGGGCCTCACGTCTCCTGCGTTTTCAGAGGAAAGACGTTTGTCTGGTTTCTCCTATAACCTCAGTCCCTCAGCCCAGCGTTTAGCACATAGTAGACTTCTGGAAAATGTATGGTGAGTGAATGAATGAATAAGTAAATGGGTGAAATACTTTTTAACTTGTATTCATAGGCTATACTCTGTGTCCGACACTGGCTATGTGCTATGTTTTCTCTTTTCTTATAACCATCCCATGAGGTAGGTATTATCCTTATTTTATTTATGAGGAAATCAGGGCTCAAAGAAATTGAAAGGCTTTCTGAAGATCATAGAGGTAGAAAATCTTTGAGTTAACCTAGATCTATGATTTTATTTTTTACTTTATTTTATTTTTTATTTATTTTTTTTATAAAGATTTTATTTATTTATTTGACAGAGAGAGACACAGCGAGAGAGGAAACACAAGCAGGGGGAGTGAGAGAGGGAGAAGCAGGCTTCCTGCTGAGCAGGGAGCCCGATGTGGGGCTCGATCCCAGGACCCCGGGATCATGAGCTGAGCCGAAGGCAGACGCTTAATGACTGAGCCACCCAGGCACCCCTATTTTTTATTTTATTAAAAAATGTTTTTTAAAGATTTTATTTATTTATTTGAGAGAGTGAGTGAGAAAGCATGAGCAGGATCAGAGGGAGAGGGAGAAGAAGATTTCCCACTGAGCAGGGAGCCCGACGTGGGGCTCAGTCCTAGGACTCTGGGATCGTGACCTGAGTTGAAGGCAGATGCTTAACTGATGGAGCCACCCAGGCGCCCCTATAATTTTATTTTTTAAATGTCATACAAGACATATACAAAGTGTATACATGGTTGGAAAAAGGGAACACCTGTGACTGCTGGCTAGTTATAGAACATTCCTGTCACCCCGGAAGCCCTGTTGTTGGGGACCAAATGTTTGTATCCCCCAGTATTCATATATTCAAGCCCTAACCCTCACTGTGATGGTATTTGGAAATGGGTCTTTAGGAGGTAATTAGGGTGAGATGAGGCCATGAGGGTCAGACCCTCCTGATGGGATTGGTGCCCTTAGGAGATACCAGAGAGCTCACTGTCTTTCTCCCTACACAAGCACAGAAGAAAGGCCAAGGGGAACCTCAGTAAGAAGGCGGGCTGTCTACAAGCCAGAAAGAAGCCTCTCACCAGGAACTGAATTGGCTGGCACCTTGGTCTCAGGCTTCCTGGCTTCTAGAACTATGAGAAAATGAATGTGTGTTGTTTAAGCCAGCTGGTCTATGGTACTTTGTCATGGCAGCCCTTTTACACTAAGACATTCATGTATCTGTTTCCAAACACTACCTCCATCTTCCCTCAAATTTAAGAGTAATAATTTCCTTGCTTTCTTTGAGAGTTGACTTTCTGTATTTAGTTTTACCTGTTTTTGAACTTCATATAAATGGAATTATATATATATATGGCTTTTTTTTGGTGACTTGCTTTTTATCCTCAATGTCACCTTGGTAAGATCTACCCATTTGAGCACAGATTTGCAGTTCTTTTGTTTTCATACTGTATGGTGCTTTCTAGTACAGATATATCACTATATACCCTTCCATTTTATGGGATAGGCATCTTGGCTGCTGGTAAAAACATTCTTAGGCATGTAGCCTGTTGTGCATTTGAACATGTATGTCTAAGGTATATACCTCCGACTGGAATTTTTGAGTCATTTGGTATGCATATCTTCAACTTTATTAGATAATATCAGTTTCCCAGAATGGTTACATTAAATTACATCCCCACCACAGTGCATGAGAGTTCTAGTTTTTCCGCACTCACCAACATTTAGTGTTGTCAGAGTTTTTAATTTTGTCAAGCAATGGGTGTGTTATGTTAACTCATCGTAGTTTTAATATGCATTGCCCCCATCCATGAATGAGGTTGAGCACCTTTTCATATTTATTGGACAGTTTGATTTCTTTTTGTAAAACGGCTCTTCACAGCTTTTGCCCACTTAGGAAAATTATATCATTTGCCTTTTTTCTCACTGATTTGTAGGAAATCTCCGTATAATCTAGAAACCAGTCCTTTATCAGTTATATATATTGCAAATACCTTCTTCCACTCTGTGGCTTGTCTTTTCACTCTTATAATGGTGTCTTTTGAGGAACAGATGTTCTTAATTTTAATGTAATAGAATGTATCACATATTCTCTTATTGTTAATGCATTTTGTGTAATGCTTAAGAAACCCTTCCCTTACTCAAGATCTTAAAAATTTTCTCTTTTCTGTTCCAAAACCTTTGTACACTTATCTTTCACACTTAGGTCTTTGACCTGCAAGTAATTTTTGAAAATGGTGTGAGGAAGCGGTCGAATTTCCTTTTCTTCCATATGGAAATCCAGTGGTCCCACATCTATTTTGCTGCTCTGACATGACACCTCTGTCATAAATCAAGTGTCTGTATGTGAATGAGTATGTTGGTCTACCACATTCTAAAGCCAAACTCCTATCTGCCATGTGATACTGCCTTTTTCTGTGAAGGAAATGTGACAGACATAATGGGCTTTAGATTCAACCAGAGCAGAATCTCAACTCACAGTCTCCACCTCCAAAAATGCTTACTAGCTGGGTGGTGTTGGCAAGTTATTTTATCTCTGAGCCCATGCCTTTCCTGCATGGTCATTGTAAGGAATAGACACAACTTGTGATACCTAATTACCTTTATCTTTACTCATATTTCAAAGGTAAGCACTTGTTTTGGTTGGAGTCTTGGGGCCTGGGTTCTGTAGTATTAATTTTCTATTGCTGTATAACAAATTGCCATAAACTTAGTGGCCTCAAACCACACCCATGTATTACGTTCCAGTTCTATAGGTCAGAAGTCTGGGTGGGCTCAACTGGGTTCTCTGCTTAGGGTCTCAAAAGGCTGAAATCGATGTGCTAAATCTGGTGGAGCTCTTAACTGGAAGTTTATGCAAGTTTATTTTAAGTTTATGCAAGCTTCTGTAAGTTGCTGGCAGAACATAGTTGCTTGCAGTTGTAGGACTGAGGCCCCTGCTTTCTTGCAGGCTGTCAGCCAAGGGTTGCTCTTAGTTCCTAGAGGATGCTCTTGGGTTCTTTCATGCCTGGCCTCCTCCATCTTCAAGTTAGCAACAGCACATCAAACCCATCTCATGCTTTGAATCTCTCTGACTTCTTGAGCAAACACTCTGCCTTTAAAGAGTTCACGTGAGGAGAAAAAGCCTACCTGGATAATCTCTCCCTTTTAAGGTCAACTGATTGGTGATTACATCGGCAAATCCCTTTTGCCATCTAACAACGTAATCTCCCAAGTAACAGTAGGGGGCAAGGCGATGGGGACCATGTTAGACTCCTGCTTACCATAGTCTTACTAGATATGTTACTTGGACTGCAGATTTCATGATGGTCCATTTGGTAAGAATTTTTTGATATATGTTAGAAAACCCAAAATACTTCATCAGCTTATTCCAAGTTCCTGAATCAGCTAGAAACGTTGACTATGACCTGCCTTCATGGAATGTTGGCCCTCTTCCCTGCAGACATATCTGTTTTTTCATGCAAACTCTTGGTGATTTGGATGCTATTTTTATCTGATATCTCCATACTTTATTGCCCACCCTTCTGTCCTTTATGGCAATAACATCAATCAACAAATATGTTGAGTATATTACATTCATAGCATTTATCCAAATCCAAGATCACACCTGACAAGGTGTTAGGCCTGTAGTAGGTATTTCTTAGAATTTTGTTGAATGAATGAGTGATGAATGGGATTCAAAAGGGATTTGCCCTTAAGTAGACTACTGTCTATTTTAGAAATAAGCCATATACACACACAAGATAAATAATATAAGAATTTACCTAACTAGTATGTATGTCTGTATGTATGTATTCCCAACTAGTTTTTAAAAAGTGGTCCAGTAGATCATTTTGTGTGTGTGTGTGTAAGGAAAGCTTTGTGGAGGAAGCAGAGCCAAATTAGGCCTTGAGAAATATGCATTGTTTGGATGTTTGGGAGGATGACCCACAGGCGGGGTAGGGAGAATTGTGTGAGCAAAGGTGCATTTTGGGAAGGGAGCAACCATTCTGGGTGGGAATCAAGATCTGAGTGGCAGGTTGTAGTCTCACAGAAGTTTTGAATGTCAAATAAGATAGAGAAGTGTTTGACTCAGTTATCTCAAGGAGCCAAAGGTTTATCAAAGTAAAGTACTTCTACTTCTCTGGAATAAAGGTGATATTAATGCATAATTTTCTTAGTATACTAGGAAAGATTTCCTAAGGAATTTTTCCTCATTTTAAGAACTTCCTCTCATAAATACCACCTTGGGTCCTTAGGAGGAAAAGTACTGTTTGCAAGGTAACAAACACACACATTTCAAGTCAAAACAAAATAAGAGTCCTTTATTCCATATTCAGCTAACCAACAACAATCTGAACTAATGTTGATTTTTAGTTCGTCACCATTAGACTTGCTGGAGTTCTTTCTCATCCTTTGTAGGAAAGTGGTAAGCAAGGCTATCTGAGGACAGCATCAAGTACACTTGTGGGAACAGTGGGTGAAACACACACACCACACTGTCAGTGGAGAAACAGCCCTAAGCAAATGCCTAGCAAAGGCAAAAAGATCTGTTACGTGGTAGCCTCACTAGGAGTCAATGTTTTATGAGAAGACCCAACCATGGGAAGGACAGGTGAGAATGAAGACATACACACAGGCTGCACTTGACTGACCAGTGCCCTGAGCGGGAATCCCACTCTGGAAATGGACTGCAGTTTCCAGGGAGATTTTCTGTGTGTCTCTGTCCTTCAAGTTCTGCCGTATGACAGAGCCTGGCCATAGCCACTGTCCTTGGGGTAAAGGAGCTTTCTCCCCCAGATACTCTATTCTACTAGTCTGAGGCAGCTCAATGTTTATGGGATTGCCAAATCTTAGTTAAGAATCAATGGGAGGAAGCCACAATGCAACATATTTAACTATGTTAAATGCTTCATGGGCGCCTGCCAGCTTCCAAACTTGCCAGGAGGTGTTTCTGAGGAAGGAAAAATGCAAACTGAGCCCCAAGGTCAATTCTTCAACATCAAACTGTCATATTCTCAACTTACTCTTCCTCTAGGGCACTTGGATTAAAGAGCCTGACCTTGATGGCCTGTCTCTCCTCAGTTCCCCAATAGGTCAGTGAGTGGGTGGTAGGGTTTTTGGAGGAACAACGTATCCAGAACAGTTGGGGGACTCCCCAAGAGGTGCTTTGGTGTAAATCAGTCTTGGAGAGGCACATGATCTAGGTATTTGACTTTAGGTGCACTTCCTGAAGATGGACATTTCGCTTGCATTGTCTGGTGCTACCCAGGCTGGTTCCGGGCAGCCCTCAGGCTCCAGGAGCTGCTTCACAAGGCTCACTCAAAATCCACTGTGTGGTCGAAGGCATGCTGGGAGCGCCTCTGCTTCCTGGACGAAGCATACAGGTACGCCAGAAACACCAGACACAGCAAGGCCACTGCTGTGAAGAAGGCAAGGATGCCCATAAAGGCAGGTGGGTCCATGGGCAGGTGGATCAGGGGGCTTTCGGCTGGGATCTGGTTGGTCAGGCTGAGCATGTAGCCCAAAGACCAGGCTATGCTGCTGTTCCCCACCTGTATGGTAGAAAGATGGATTAGTTATCAGGGTAGGGCTCGAGGTGGGAATTACACACATACACCACTGTCATCCTTATGAAACATGCACCAGAAACTGTGGCCTAATCTCAAAGGACTTGCCCAAGTTCAGACACTGCAGAGACTGGGCTAGAATCTAGGTCACTGAGACCCTACCCTCAGCACTGTGGAGAAATCGTCAGAGTCCTCACAACCTCGTCACAGCCAAGTGGGATGATGGCTCAGTTAATAACAGTGGGAGTTTCTCTACTGTCCGGTACAGAAGTGTCTGTGGCTAAAGAAAGAGGGTAATGAGCAGTTTACTGAAGCCAGGACCAGTTTCTAAGCACAGGGGGTCAGTCTAAATAGGAAAGAGACTTTGTCAATTTCTTATGTTAGTTCCATCAGTTTTTGTTTCTGTGTTTTTATTAGGCTGTTTTACTAGATGCAAAAAAGTTTCAAATTTGCAATCTTTAGAAGGAACTCTATATCACTATGTTGTATTCCTTTGTATCTGAATGATCCTCCTTATTTTAAAGATTATTTGGTCAGCTATTAAATAGCTATACTGAAATTTTTAAAAATTAGCTATACTGTTTTCTTTTGGGTAGCGTGTTTGCCTGATAGTTAAATTTTTTTATTTTTTAATTTTTAATTTTAATTTTATTTTACTTTTAGATTTTATTTATTTATTTGACAGAGAAAGAGACAGTGAGAGAGGGAACACAAGCAGGGGAGTGGGAGAGGGAGACGCAGGCTTCCCGCTGAGCAGGGAGCCCGATGCGGGGCTCGATCCTAGGACCCTGGGATCATGACCCCAGCAGAAGGCAGACGTTTAACGACTGAGCCACCCAGGTGCCCCTAAATTTTTTTTTAAAATTTTCAAACTTCCATGGCCTTTTGCTTAACACCTAAGGGTTTCTCTTACAAATAATATATACTTGATTTTTAACAATCTAATCTGACAATATCTGTCTTCTAACTGGTAGGCTTAGTCCATTTATGATTATTGTGATTATTGATATATTTGGACTACTTCTTTCTAGTATCTTAGTTTTAAATTTTCAATTAGTGCTATTTTCCTTTTTCTATATTTTTTTCCTTTCTTGCCTTAAAAATGATATATAAATAAAGTCCACCTTTACAGGATGAGCATTTTAGGCCACTCTTGTGACCCTTTACCCTGCTCCCTTCACACTGGATATTAGCTATGTTTGGATTTTGGGTTGTCATGAATGGACTCTTTTCCTTTTCTTTGGTGTAAGTTTTCTTTTTTCTTTTTTTAAATATACAGTTTAAGCCACCACATCATTTATTCTTCCTGCCTATATTTTTATTACATTTCCTGGATTTATTTCTCTTCTTATTTGTTTTTTTTCCTCCAAAAATATTTTTGACGTCTCTGTGTGGCAAATCTTCTAAATCTTTTTATGCCTTCACGTTTGAATACTAATTTGGCTGTATATAAACTTCTTTTATTTTTTAAGATTTTATTTATTTGACAAAGAGAGACGCAGTGAGAGAGGGAACACAAGCAGGGGGAGTGGGAGAAGCAGGCTTCCCGCTGAGCAGGGAGCCCGATGCGGGGCTTGATCCCAGGACCCTGGGACCATGACCAGAGCCAAAAGCAGATGCTTAACGACTGAGCCACCCAGGCACCCCTGTATATAAACTTCTTTACGAATAAAAGAAAGGGATTTGAAGGCTGGAATTCTGTATCCATCCAAACTGGTATCCGAGGGGACATCACTCTCCGTTCTCAGAATGTACTTTCCTGCTAATTAGATTCATTAGAAGCAAAGCGTAGAGAGTGCATGCCACCAAGAGTCCTTATATGTCTCCAGACAGTCTTATCTTTTCGTAGATGACTCAATTTTATTTATGTAAAAGTAGACAGTCACAGGCCTAATGCTGGCTATTGATTGGTTTAATCTAATTATTGCTAAAGCTAATATCAAACAGACTGACTCCAAGCTTTAGATCGGCTATTTCTGAAATGAGAAAATTCTCCCAAATCCCGGGAACATAGGCTGGGTGAACATATCAGCAAGGTTGAGTCCTGCCTGGAAACAAGGCCTGAAGGGTGACAGGTCAAACAGTCACCAGTAAATACAGTGACCTCAGGCACATGCCAAGAGAAGTTCTTACTTCATGCTGCTGTAAATCCCTAATACTCTCTGTTACCCTGACATCGGTGTAAAATGGAGAGCAGTTACTAGCCTCTTAAAGAATCACTGCCCTATTTAAAGCTTCTTATCCAGCTGAAAAGTCTGATCCTTAAGATATTTATATATACGCTCAACAAACATTTAGTAAACACCTTCTAGGTTTTCGCTCCTGTGCTGAAGATAATGAAACAGGTCCTGCGCTCGAGGAGCTCAGGGTCTGTGAGCTCTTGGCCTCTGATCCCTCACCCATGTGAAAGGGTCTCCAGTGACACCTCCTCTGGATTCTCCACCATCTCTTCTGGAAAACTCACAAGGGATTGAAGTCTCTTCAGTTTCCCCTCAGCAAACTGAAATCACCCTCTTAACTTCTACATTTCTTCCGCACCTATATACACAAGTCTTTCGAGAGGAAGAGGAGAAAACAACCTGTGCCTTGACTTACTTCTTTTTTAAAATGTATTTTGGGCCAGGTCTCCTCGGTGAATCTGTATCCATTCACGAGCAAGTGGTAGATATAGTGGGCTGAGAAGCAGTAGGAGCGGGCGTATACCTCGTCAAACCTGGGGAGCAGCAGCGGGAGCTGAAGAGGAGGTCCCAAACACATGAGGCAGGCACATTGAAAATGCAAGTTTCAGAACACATTTTAAAGACTCTCATCCCCTAGAATTTCATAATACCATCACCATAAAATCATCCAGTTGTATCAGATCATAATGAAAACACCCCGATGCAGTATGGGTACACCACATGCTGTTGTAACCATTGTGCCTATGGTCAGGACATTCATCCACAATGTGGGTATGAGGTAGTTTCCCTTATTATCCCATTTTGTGGGTGTGGTGAAAGCAGAACGGCATAAAGTCCCAACTCGGAACAAGTGCACACATGCACACAAATGGAATATACTTGGCTCCGCTCACTGTGTTGTACGGATGCTGCCCCTTTCCCTTTAAATACTGACCTGACTCCAGCTCTCTGAGCAGAAATCCCAGGTGCTTGAGTTGAAGGCTTTCAGGGAAAAGCTCCCCGAAAGATTGAAAGCACTGACTGTGTAGTAGAATCCTGCAAAAGCCTGGAAGGGGGTCGCACAGAAGGAAGTCAGTTCTCAGAACGCGGTATGTTATGGAGCTTTCAGTGTGGGGAATAAAAAAGTGGGAAAACAGGGCAGCAGAAGAGAAACAAAGGGGAGAGCTAAATCTTCAATGGGGGAAAAAAGGAATCTTTTGGTGGTTTTTGCTCTTACCACAAATGCCCCTTTAACTTTTGGCTGATAAACCCCATCAAAAGAACAGGCTTCTTGGTCATGGCAAGCTTTGAAGTCAAACAGGAAAGCCACCTTTTCCCTACACAGTGATGGGTCTCCGCTTCCTTCAAAAGTGATGATGTCATCAGGGTCATAATTTACAGGCCTCAAGTCTGCTGTGCACAGGCTGTCAAATATGTAGCCCCCAGTGAGGGTGGTGACATAATTCCGAGGGTAACAGGGGTTGATGATACTGGTTTTGGTGGGAGAATCCTGTAGGTACAAGAAGGAGGTGTCAGAAACCACTCTTTTGTGGAGGGCCAAAGTGTTTCCCTCTTGCAACTCCTCAGTATTGCACCCTCCCATGCCAAGAGAGAAATGGATGGAAAACACGCCATTTTGTGTCAGTGTGCACTTGAAGGCAACTCCCAGGTTGTCTTGAGAACTCCAGTGGGGGTGGGTGAACCTGCACCAGGCACAATGCCAGGCTCTCGCTCATGTTATCTGACCCACTCCTTAAGACAGTCCTGGGAAGCAGGTTTTATGAAATCCATTTGTATGGGAAAACAAGATATGTTTAGATTAATTGATCATTTTGAATAGAATATCACCTATCCCCCTAACAAAATAATCCAAAAGGTTACAAATAAGTATATTATGAAAATTAAGGTTCCCTCCCAACCACTTCTAGCCACCAGATCCCCTCCCTAGAAGGAACCACTATTGCCCATTTTTGTGATTTCCTGCCAGAGATCATTCTTGTATGCATATGCAAATATCTTTTCTTCTCCTCCCTCTTCCTTTTTCTAAAAACAATAAATCGTAGTACTCTATACACAGTTATTCCCCTTGCTTTTCCTACTTAAAAATATACCTTTCACATCTTTCCCATCACGCATGTAGAATGACCTCTTCTTTTTAGTAACTGCATAGCACTCCACTGTACAAATAAACTATAGAGGAGATTCCTTAGATAAGGAATATGAATATGAATATTTAGATGGTTTCCAATCATTCTGCATTATAAGCAAGGCTGCAATAAATATCCTTGTTACATATAAATCTTTGATCCATTTGTAATTTATTCGGTGTAAAGATTGTAATAGGGAACCTGACTTTACTTTTTTCAAATGACTATCCAATATTTTATCTACTGGTGAAAAATATTCTTCTTATCTTATACTAAATTCCAAAGTGTGTTTGGTTCTATTTATGGACTCCCTTTTCTAAGGAATTGAATTTGAACTCTGTCCAATTTCAAAGCCACTTAAGCATCTCCTGCCATAAAGTCTTGACTCAGACAATATTTATTCCAACTCTTTCAATTAACTGATGTAGGAAATTGAGATACACAACAAAGTAATGCAATCATTTAACAAAGGCCAGTGACAGGACTCCACACATAAGCGTCCAGAAGACCAGCACTCATCCAATGTGACTCTAATGAGCATCCTCCAGAAGATCTTAATATGACTGAGTCTGTGGAGGTAGCAAACAGGCTCCTTTCTGCTTCAATGGTATGAAAAAAATTCATGATTTTCAAAAATTGGTATGTCTAATTTGTAACATGTCACACCAGGGTCACCCTATGGCTGAAATATTGGTTTAAAGGGGGGAAAAAAAGAAATCAGTCAACTGGTTATTTAATTTCCCCCTCCAAATCTGACATACTTTTTAAGTAGTTAAAATGAAATAAATTATTTCTGGCTTGGCCTGCGGAAGAAGCAAGATATTATCAATTTCTGGCTTGGAACATAGAAGAAGCTCAGGAAAGATTATTTCTTTTTTTTTTATCTTAAGATTTTATTTATTTATTTGAGAGCGAGCGAGCACGCGGATGAGCATGAAGTGGGGAGGGGCAAAGGGAGAAGCAAACTCCCTGCAGAGCAGAGAGCCAGATGTGGGGCTCCGATCCCAGGAGCCTGGGATCATGACCTGAGCTGAAGGCAGATACCTAACTGACTGAGCCACCCAGGTGTCCCTAAAGATTACTTCTATGCTCTTTTTGGAGTTTGAATGATTTGTGATGGCGTTCTTTAAATATAATTTGCCAATGGTCCAAGTTGCTCAGGCCCTCAACATTCAACAAATCTCCCCTGAACTTAGTATTTGCACGGCACTGGAACTAAAGGGTCAACCATTAGGCTTGAGAGCCAAGAAGTCCACTGGAAAACTGCAGCATAACTTGGACTTGAGTAAATCCCATCAAAAGTGGAAAAGTGGAGATAGGAACTATCTTCAATGGTGATGGAAACTATTAAAAGAACACACCAGGAAACTAATTTAAAAGGAAGGCACAGGACCAATAATGAAAACTATGTTTTATTGAAGGATACAAACCAAGAACTAAATAATTGGAAGGATATTTTATAATTCTATAGGGGAATTCATAATATTATCGATTAGCCAATTTTTTACCAAATTAATTTTCAGTCAATGCAACTGCAATCATAATTTCAATGAAAAAAGTTTTCCTTTCTGTTACTGCTTAAAATGATTTTGAAGTTCAGAATAAATGTCTGAGACTAGAAAAACAAACTACTGCAACTAGAATAATTGGCTCAAGAATGGAAAAATGGATGAATAGAACGGGAAATCCAGAAACAGATCTTCCTTATCCAAGGACTTATTACTAGAATATCCCAGAATCCCTGAAATTATCGGATTGCAAAGAGTCATCACAACTTTGTTGGTGGGAATTTGGATGGTTTTTAATTTTGTTGGAAGATTGCCTATTTATCCACTTATATAAAAGATATACCTACCCTTCGATTCTATCCTACAGAAGCAAAATCACTATTTCATAAGGTTATATGCACAAGAAGCGTTACTGGATTATTATTGCTGCAGCAAAACAGGACATAGCCTGGTGTCCATCAGGATAGGAATGGTTGACAAATTGTGAAATACTAGAGGGTAAAGAAAATAAGTTAGATATCGATCTGGAAAGTCTTTAGAAAAGACTGTGAACAACGTATCAAGCTGTGAACAGTGAAGACATTTGGTGAATAGGGTTGGAAAGAGATTTCTTTCATTGTTACTTTAATATGTTTTTTGCATAGTTTGACTTTTTACAATAAAAATGTACTTTCTTTTATAACAAAATGACCAATACAATTTTTCTTTTTAAATAATGGTACTTGGAATATTATGTGTCTATAAAAATAATAATTTCAAAGGATATTGAACAACACAGGAAACTGCTCATGGTATATTGTTAGGTAAAAGAAAAAGCTGGATATAGGGGCGCCAGGGTGGCTCAGTCATTAAGCATCTGCCTCAGCTTAGGTCATGATCCCAGGGTCCTGGGATCAAGCCCCACATCAGGCTCCCTGCTCAGCGGGAAGCCTGCTTCTCCCTCTCCCACTCCCCCTGCTTGTGTTCCCTCTCTCGCTCTCTCTCTCTGTCAAAATAAATAAATAAAATCTTTAAAAAAAGCTGGATATAAAGCTATATATGCCATATGAAGCCAAATTTGTAAATACACATATTCGTGCATAAAAAAAAATAACTGGAAGAAAATGCAACAGTATGTTTAAGGTGGTTAATTCTAGGGTTTTTTGTTTTGTTTTATTATTTATATTTTTTGTGTCTGCTTTTCTAAATTTTTTCATTCAATGTGTCTTATTTTAAAAGCAAAAGAAAGAACTTTCTTAAATAGAGGGGAAGAAGGACCATGAATGCACATCCCTAGCGTCTAACAGGTTGTCAGAGACTCCAGCCCTGGGGCAACTGGAGGCTTGTTCATACAAAAACAGTTTGCAAGGCTTATATTCAGGTATCATTCTCACCACACTGTGAGAGATGAGGAAACCAGACCCAGACTGGTGGAATTTACTCAGCCAGTGTTCATGATGTAGTCATCTTGGTGAACCTTCTAAGTTGGGGCTTGGTAACATGTATTTGGCACACAAAAGTACTGGTCAGGCAGGTCTGGACATGCATTTGTGGGTGATTCTCAGCACACCTGGATCCTTCCCGTCACCTGAGTCAGAAGGCTTTGAGGGCAGAGCCATCCTCTCAGGCATCCAGAGGTTACCAAGCAAGTTGGAGGGCTGCCGCCGTCCCTGTGAGCTGACTGGCCACAGTAGAGCCTGGGGTCTCCCACACTCTGTCCCTAGGCCTGGGCTCACACCTTGAGACCTACGTTCTCAAGCCCAAATGAAACCTCAGACAGGTGGAGTATTTGCTTCTCCACCGTAGATTCTTGGATAGTCATTCTTTAATAAACATTATAAAAATAAAAACCACACACACAAACATTCCTCAGGGCCAGCCAAATTTAAGAGGTTAGCTTCTCTGAGCTTCACTCACCCTGGGAAAAGGATGATTTCACCTGCCCCCTTTCTCCTGTTCCAAGTTCAGAGGAGACCCTGCCCTCCACCCTTGTCAAGACTAGAGCTGGAGGGAGGGGCTTTAAGCATTGCTAGAAATGAAAGGAGATGGGGAAAAGAGGTGTTTCCAGAACTTCTGTCTTGGAAAGAAGCATCTTGGCTGACGTACGTTAGTAAGCAAGTGGGAGGAGTGTTGGTTATGGAGACCTTGCTAGGGAGGACTGATAGGGTTCCCTTTGGGGTTTGGCTTGGCCAAGTGGGTGTGATGTGAGTCTAGGGTGGGCACTGGGTCTCTTGAGCCCCAAGAGCTGCCTGCAGGATCCCCCACTCTGTCCTTCCCAGGCAGTGCTCAGCCTCTCCCAACAATGCCTGCCACATGCATGTGTACTGAGGCTCCAACCTTTCCTGTGAGGCTCAAAGAGAAGCTCTGGGGAGCAGGCCAGATCTAGAGAGTGAATTCTCACACACACCCCTGCATGACTACTCAGTAAATGCAGGGGTCTGAAGATGTCAGTTTTGCTGATGGCACTTTGGTTAGCCAGACCATTTTTCCCTGCAGGCTAGTGGCTGGGGGAATACTGCTTCCTTCCTTAATTGCCGAAGTAGGTGGGAGGGGTGGGGGTTAACCTATGGTGCTGTGTCCACTATATTCATAGGCCAACCCAGCCCTTGTCCCCTGTCCCTGGGTCTCACCAGAAGCCAGGATCTGTGGCCTCTGGTTGGCCTCATGCCCCTCTAGGTGGTCAAAGTCAAAGTCCCTTTCCTTCGTCTTCATCTTCCCTTCTTAGCCATGCATGGCTGAGATGGATGTCCCCTGAGCACTGGAGTTTGGGGTCTAGGGTCTCATCCACGGAGCTTGTGCTTGCTGACACACACCACACTAACACTAGTTTACCTCAGTGACAGCCTTCCAGCTGATGCCTGAAGTAGCCATCTGTGCCATGGAACAGTTACTGTGTGAATTACTGACCAATGTGATGGAGCTCTGTTACTCCAACATCCCACCATATAAAGGGCATCAAACCTGCCTAATATAGGCCCATCTAAAAGGAGGCTGAGCCCAGGGAAGGCTCAGTTGTCTCCCCTGTCAGCAAGTATATTTCTCTTGGTACCACTTTTATTATTTTGTCTGTACTCAGGGGAGTCGCAAAATTCCCAGGCTTATTTAGCTATTGGTTTAAAACAGTTTGTGTCCATAAAGGGATCCCAGGTCTTGAATCATTTACAAAACATTTGGTGCCCTGGAATTTCCCTAGACTTCTGACTCAAATTCACTGGAAGTGGTCAATACAACAGAGAGAGAGAGAGAGAGAGAGAGAGAGCTTGGACCCCCATGAGTAAACTGGAACATGCTCTCATTTCTATCCACGTTCTAATTGGAGTGGAAAGGACAGACCCCAGAAGCCAAGGCCCCCTCCCCTCAAGACCCCCAGGGAACACCTGCTGTCCCCCCTACCTCCCCCGCCCCGGCTCAGGTACCTGAACGAGTATTGCCAGAAACCTCTTCTCAGCCTCGTTCCGGCCGTAGCACTGGAAGCTATGGGTGTAGAGCGTGTACACATAGCCATACAGGGACACTTTCATGATGTTGCTGGTGTTCAGCCCTACCCTCTCTCCAGCCGCAAAGGATATTTGGGTGGAAGCACCACCTAAATCCAGGGCACCTGTGGTCTCCACTCCATTTGGATGCACCCACATATGCCACAGGTTCTTCTGCACAGTGGGAAAAGGAAGCAAGAGAAAAGTCGAGAGGCACCATCTCTGTTTGCCCAGGGCTCTCCACCCAAGACCCATCTCTTATTGCTAAGAAGTATGACATGGGGAACATTCAGGGGCCAACTCTCTCCTTTATTTCAAGGGTGGTGAACTCAAATGCTTTCAGAGGCTGGGCAGGCAACATAAGTGAGTGAAGCAGATTAGGTGTTGACAATAGGGAATGGTGGGGACTGTGGCAAACTGGGGACCACATGAGCTACACTCTATTCCAGTTAGTTGTTGTTATGTGGAATGTGAGTTCATTGTGACCAGTGTTTCCAATTTTGGGGGTGGGGGTGGGGGTCCGGACAAGCTATAAATGTGGATTTTTATGTGAAATTTCCAAAATATTAATTGTTGGCAATTAATTAAAATTTAAGAATATATTTGAGGGGGAACAACACAGGTGTTGGGCTGGATATGGTTTATGCCCTCTGTAACATGGTGATTATCTCTTGGAGTTGGCTTTCCTTTGAACAAGGGGCAGGGCATGTGGGGACTGCAATATAAGGGACCCGGGGACACAGGATGGGTTGGGAAGCCTGAGGGCTCCAGAAATTTCAGGGGGCTGTGGAGCTTTGGGAAGGGTCATTCTCCAGCTACCCTTCAAAAGACCCATAGGCTTTAGATTTAGGTCCCCCCCCACCTCCAATTTCTTATTAGTTAGTTAAGTGATAATATTCCCTCTCCTCTGTGCATTTGGTCCTGCTTATGAGACAATGTTTTTGCCCCAGCTATATGTGTCTTTTCTTGGCTCTTGTTTCATAGGTGTTTCCTTAATGCATTATATGATAAGGATGACACAGAACAGATGCCCCTGTCAACATGCACCTCTGCTTTAAGTGGCCACCCACAGGGGATGGGATAAATAGCAAGATTAAAAACCATGCACTTGTTTTCACACACCTCCAGGAAATTTCCCATTAAATAGTTGGCTGTAATCCATCCATATATCCCTTCCTCTTGCCCAGAAATGATTTGAGCACCCCTAAAATCAAAGGGCTGGGACTTGAAGTAGTTTTGGATGCTTGCAAGGACTTCATTAGCTGCTGTTTCATTTTGTAACCTATGCAAGGCACAGAACACAAAAGGCTGAGTGCCTGGACAAGAGAGTCTTAAAATAATCTCACTCAGGTTAAAAGGTAAACCTCTCACCCCTCTGCTGACAGGGACAATTTTCCAGATGTGTACAAAAATGGCAACCCTTTTTGCAAGTTGAAGCCTCCTAGGCAACCGTGAAGGCAGATGCACTTGTTACCTGTCAAACTGCCAATCAAAAAAATAGCTTCAAGTAAAAATACCCTTCATCCTCTCCTCCCTTACCTGTTCCCATCCCATTCTCTAGCAACCAGTTAACCAAAAGAGCTTCCTGCTTAATCACCATTGCTCTGTCTCAGATCAGCACAGGAAAAGGGATTGGTGAAGCCATAGGGGTGGCATAAGTAATCTTCTGGGGGCACCACATAAAGGAGCCCTCATCAGGCCAGAAGGAAGGGGGATCTGAGGAGGAGGGGGGAAAGGAAGAAGGTTGAGTTTTCAACAGTCCCTGCTTTGCTTTTGGGAAGGGCTTTATCATGAGGGGATATGATGGCTATCATGGCCATCATTGGATTGAAATCCATCAGTGTGCTGACCCACAGAAGAGTGGCAACACAGCATTCCTATATCACCCAATGATATGGCATTGTAATATTCATTTGCTGCCATTTTACCTTATGGAAAAAGATTCGCTTGGGAGATTATTTTCCCTTTCATCAGTGGGTTAAGAAAGCCAGGGGCACCAGCTCATTCTTGGCTCAAGAAGAAAGAGCCATGTTACCAGCTGAAGGTCATGCTAATTCAGCAGCAAATTATCACTGCTCAGAAAATAATTCAAGAGTTTTTCTAGTTTTATCAGTTCCCATCCCAGAGGATTCACTATTGCTTTTTTTTATATTTGACTTTTCTGGCAATTAAAATGTCAGCTAGTTCCTTAGAAGGAATGGATCACCATCAGAAAGTTTTACAAGGAGGAGTTAATATTTAATTTATTCAAATGGGACATTCACTGTGTTCCCAAGTGGTGCACTTCCTATTCCATGGTTTTTGTCATGGACTATAAATCACAGAGTCTATTAATTATTCCTCACCGGGAGGACTGTGAGAAAAAGCAATTGAGAAAAAGTTGGGTGCTTTGTTTCCATAAGAAAGAAAAGGCAGAAGGAAGGAATTTCTATATCATTTCTATTTTAAGGAAACACAATAATTTTGAAACACACTTCAGATTCCAAGAGGGAGCAAAGAAATCCAATTTTCTCCCACGTTTTACTTGGTCAACCAGGACTTAGGAATAGAAACAAGGAGAGAAAACCCACAAGGAAAAGGCCCACTTCAACTGAGGGTGCTTCCTGATTTCTTTTAATGATCATGTTGAAGTGACTCTGTTTGTTTGTTCCTGTGTATCTTCTTCATGCCCACACATATAATTTTATGTTACTGGCACCACAGACAAAGTGGCTTTGAAGCAGGATAAATGTCATCTTTGGGGTTAAAACCTTATTTTCAAAGTTTGGAGCAGCCTCTACCCTGAGTAGATTTAAGTTTGATGTTTTAAAAACTATTTTTCTTTTATTTCAAGGTCAAGGAAATAAAATAAAGGAAAAAAAAAACCAGAGAAAGGGCTCTCAAAGACAGTGCAACTGGGCTCAAAGTCATGGCTACAAATTTAGAAGGATCCTTAATTGAGTGAAATGAGCCGTTTGTTTCCTAATAGCTCCAAAGACTTTGACTGGGGTGAAGTGCAGAAATTCCACTATTTTCCAGCAGATTCCTGTGGCATTGTGTACATGGGTAGAAGCCACATAAATATGGGCTGCAGTCAGTGGACCTGGTTGTGCACAGGTATCAAAAGACCAGGCATCAAAAACAATTTTTACTTTTCTAAAGAATTAGAGGTACACCTCATGAGATTTCATGTTACCTTCCTTTCTTCTAGAGTTCTCAGGAAAATCACCAATGGGGAGGGAATCCATTTTAGAACGATTTCTTTCTGGGTATTAAAATAAAGCCTGAAATTTTCCCAGCTTTTGGAGCCTCAATTTATGCAGAATATGGGCTTCTTTCTTTCAGATTTGTTCCCAGAAATAGAGTTACATTCTTGGCAGGGTTCAACACATTCTTGGCTATTTTGATCATATGGGCTCCTTGGGGCCATTCCAGCCCTTACCTCAGCAAGCGCATCCCAGCTGTGGCCCCCAGGTAAATGTGGGTGGATCCATGGAGGTGGGCTGGAATCTGTCCCTTGACTTTTTCCATGCAATCCTCAAAGGCTTTGGGGACATCTTGGGGGTTTTTCCCATAGCTGGAGATCCCAGAGCCTGAAGAGCAAGCAGTCAGCATTTCTTAGCATTCCCACGAACCAACAAGAGCAGTATAACTTCTGAATAAAAAACAAATCAGCTTTGAAAATTAATGGGTTTGAGTAGGGGTTGAAAACAGGTGGATGTGGTCACACTGATGAGTCAACATCCAAAATATGGAAGAGAGGAATTACAAAAGTGAAAAAAATGAGCCAGGATCTGCTTAAGAAAAAGTCTCATTATGGAAATTTCAAATATAAATAAAAGTAGGGAGAGTAGTATAATGAACCCCAATGCACCCATCTCCCAGCTTCCACAATGATCAACTCTTATTTCATCTGCTCTTTCTCCCTACAGAGCAAACTGCAGATATGGTATCATTTCATTCTCTAAATACTTCAGTATGTTTCACTAAAAGACAAAAATTCTCTTTTTTTTTGTTCAGAAATAATCAATCTTATTGGCCTTTTGCTTCTCTAGTCTCCTTTCATACTACTTGCCTTTGGTAAGTTCACTTGTTTTTTGTTTTGTTTTTTAAAGATTTTATTTTTAAGGAATCTCTACCCACAATGTGGGGCTTGAACCTACAAGCCTCAGATCAAGAGTCACACACTCCTCCAATTGAGTCAGCCAGGTGCTCCGGGAAGTTCATTGCTTGACAGAACTTCCACCAAATAGGTTTAGAGACATAGTGAAAGGAGGAACAGGAAAAATGAAACAAAAATTCAAATCTATGTCCCATGTGTTCAAACACAGAGGGAAAAAAAGAATCTTGCCATGGTTTATCTTCAGGAAACATTTTGGTATAACTATATATAATTTAACAAGACATCATCCTAAACAGTAAATATAAAATAATACCGAAAAGTCCGCATTTATAAATTTCAAGAAGTAACATACCTAGAGAGACAAATAGCGCAAACAAACCCATGACAGAGTTCCTCAGTTTGGTCAGAAATCTCCGTGAGCTGAAATGTACCATCACAGACAGAACTAAAAGTAGAGTTAGGCAAGAATTCTTTTAAATAAGCATAACCACTGCCCTATTATTATGTCCATAAAAATTAAAAATAATCCCTTAATAGAACCAAATTCTAGCCAAGGTGCACATTTCCTCCATATTCATATATTCCCCCCCCATCCTTCCGCCTGCATCCTCTTTCTCTCTAGCCAGTTTGTTTGAATTAGAGTCCAAATAAATTACATCCATTGCAGTTGGCTGGTATGTCTGTTAAGTCTCTTTTACCCATAAGTTCTGTCCTCCCTTTCTATTTTTCCCTTGAGATTAAAAAAAATTGCTTTGCAATTTCATTTGTCTTATAGAGTTTCCTACAGCCTAAGATTTGCTGACTGCATCCCTATGACTCACGTAACATGCTGTTGAGTCCTGGCTTTTCCCATAAATTGGTAACTGAATGCAGAAGCTCAGTCAGATTCAGGTTTGGACTTTTTCAGAAGAAATAATTTATAGGGCTTAATGTGAACTTCCAGTGCAAATCACGCATATCTGCTATTTCTCTTTGTGCTTGAGCAGGCATCAGAGATCATTGCTTAGGCCCATTAGCCCACTAGGATTTATGAAGTGGTGATATTTCATTTCCATCTTTCCTGCTTCACTTATAACCTAAATGCTTTCATAAGAGGAAAACTTCTCTCTCATTAACTATTTGGTTACCCTACAATACAGTTTGTACAGGGAAAGCAGGGTAAGTGCTGGATTTTTCCCCTTCATCAGCTTAAGAAATAGAGATTGCATGTCTTGTATCCTCCTAATTTATCCAGTGAGGGATTTTATTGGTTTGTTGTGTATCTTAAGAACATATGAATTTGAAGATATATTGGATGTGTTTTGATTCATTGCAGTTATTATTCTTATTGATGGTCCCGGGGTTGGCCAGTGGAGCTCTCTTCAACAGGACCCCTGAGTCCTTTAGATGTGATCTCAGAACTTTTGAGAGCTTCTTTGCTCTCTGATATTAGATGTGTGATCTTATGCACTTCTTGCCCCCAGCTCTGGAATCAGCCACTTCTCCAAGGAGTACTGGCTTCTTTTCTTTGAGTATGATATTTGGTGTCTGAAATTTGGAAGCCTTTGCAAGGCTTTTCAGAGGACAGACTTAGGAAAACTTTGTTTCAAGAGAAAATGCATCATGAATTCTTATTGGAACTTCTACTTCAAAACTACAGGTTTTTACTTAAGTTGATCTTGACCTTCTTTTTCCTATGCTAAAAATCCCGCTTCCCAGCTATTCCAACTGAATAGCTCGCTTGCTTTATTTCACAATCCACCCACAAAGGTCTTAGGATGGCAATACCAGCACTATCACCAACTATATGGTTATTGAAAACAGTTTAAGATTTTTTTTTTAAAGTTCTTTTTGTCCTAGGGTATATCCCATTAGGCATTATGGACCCTATGTACAGCATCCATGAATAAAATTTTCTTGAAACACATATATGTACGTGCTCATTTGTCTGCACATTGTCTGGGCTGCTTTTGTGCTAAAGTGACAGAGCTGAATGGTTACAGCAGAGACCATATGGCCAACAAGTAACAAATATTTATCATTTAGCTCTCTACAGAAAAAAATTTGCTGTTCCCGGAGTTAGATGATTTATGGGCATCTCCAGCTTAATCTGTCCAAAACCAAATTCCTCAATCCCTGCCGTGCTCCCAATTGACCCACCCCCAGGGCTCCCCTCTCAAGAAGTGGTACCATCACACACGCAGTTGCTCAGGTCAGAACTGGTGCTCAGGCACCACCAACTTAGACATCTCACATCGAATCTTTCATAAAATCTTATTGGCTCTACTTTCAAAATACCTCTCAAATCTGAGCACTCTTTCTCCCCTTCCCCCAGAACCATTCTAGATCAGAGTTTTTCAATCTTGGTACCACTGACATTTGGGGCCAGATAATTCTTTGTTGTGGGGCCATCCTGTGCACTGTACAATGTTTAGCAGCATCCTTGGTCTCTATCACTAGATGCCAGCAGAACCACCAACCCCAATGGTGACAATCAAAAATGTCCCCAGACATTGTTAAATGTTCCCGGGGGAGCCAAGTTGCCCCACACTGACAAGCACAGTCTCAGCCAGATCACCACCACATCATAACTTTATGACATCATTACGTGCACTGTTCTAAAAGCCCTGGTTTCCCCGCTTCTGATCTCAGCCTCTGACTACGTGTTCTACATCCAGAGTGCTCTGTTAAAAGTATAAGTCATATCCATGTTAGTTCCTGGTCAGAATCTCCTAGTGGCTTCCCAGTATACTCTGAAGAAAATGCATCTGAGTTCAAGTCAAACCTCTCACTGCTCTCAAGGCCCTCTGAGCTGGCCCTGACCACGGCTCTGGCCTCACTACTCACCTTTCTTCCTCTTACTTATTCTGCTCCAGCCACACTGGTCCCTTTGCTTTTCCTAGAAAATGCTGAGAAGCTTCCACCCCCGGCCTCTCTGCTTGCCAGGCCTTCTGCTCAGCACGTTCTTCCCTCAAAAATGTGTGTGGCTCACACTCTCCTTTCACTTTTGCCTCTGCTTAACTATCCCCTCCAAACAGAGCATGATCATTCTCTGTCCACCTACCTCACTTGATTTTTCTTCACAGCACTTCTCCCTGACATGTTATATACCCTTTTATGATCTATCTCCTTGATTCGAATGTAAGTTCCACAATAGCAGAGACTTTGCATATTTCACTTTAGAATCCCCAGTGTCAAGAACAGTAACTGGCAGACAGTTGATACCCAATACGTATTTATTAAATAAATGAATAAATGAATCAGTCAATGAGATTTTCAAACCTGTGTGCAACTCTATACTAAGGGGATCATGTAGTCCAATCTGATCAGTTAGAGCTGGTCTCTGGAAAGGGACCTGTTAGGAGCCTTGTTGGAACGTCAAAACTTGGGATATCTGAGCATGTCACCTGAGACCTATTTGCATAAGGTCCTATAAGCTTCCTAAAGGAAAGACAAGATTGGGCTCACAGGCTCACGGGATCCTGGGATTCACAACTCCAAGAAAGGAGGGTTGAAATCACTATTCCAATCTGGAGAAAGATGGTTGGACAGATGACACAAAACTTACTCGAGGTGGGACAGAAGCAGAAGATATGTACCCAAGAAAAGGATGCTTTCAACACCATAATGGCCTGGTCCCCAACACAACTTTTTAAGGTATTTCAATGGAGGAGATGGTTACCCTTAAGCTCCAGTGGAGTTTAAAGAACTTTAACCACTGCTTTAAAGGGAACACATGAATGTCCTTTGTGGGAGGAGGCAGCCGCAGTCATGAGCACCACACACCGTGAAAGAGATGAGGGTGGTGTAGGGGCCCAGTGCCCTCCAGGGAATGGCTTTATAACATGCAGCTCAGAGCTTTGGACACCGGCATGGGGACCAGCAGCTAAGGCAGCACCCAGTGAACTCAGGAAAATAGCAGTAACTGAGGACTGATGATACTCACCGAGGCCCCTCCACCCCCGCCAAGAAAGAAATTTCTAAGAGCCTGGGTATCTGGGAGACCCGGCTGGGCAAGCAAGCATTCATCACCCCCTCAGACTGGCCAAGGCAGGGGAGTCCTGGGAAATTTGCAACTGGGAAACCAGAAACCCAAATCATCCCTGGAGAAGCCGCATGTCTTCAAGGGGACAGCACTCACCAAACTTTAACTCTGTATTTTGAGCTTTAGTTCGTGGTCTTCTGGTCATCTGGAGTATATATATGGGTCCCTGAGGCTACTGCGATCAAAGGGAAGACCCATTTATGGATACGGTGTGGGCTCCATGACACTGCCCTTCCCCTAAACCACATCCAGGGTGGCCGAGGGCCCCGTCCCCCAGGAGACTGCCTGTGTCCCTCCATGAAGGTCACATCTCCCCCTATAGTCAGAAGACCATCAGGACTGACTTGGCTGAACTGTTCTCTGGGTCTAAAGACAGATCTGGGACAGACTAACTTCTTGGCAAGAATATCCACCAGGAGCTCTAAAGTGTGCTGCTCTATGAATAATAATAGCTAACACTTAATTGAGTGCTTATTGTATGCCACGCATTTGCCACCTGCTTTACATATATTATATCATTGAATCGTCAAATGATTCCTATGGGATGGGTGCTACTATTATTATGCTTATTTTATAGATGAAGAGGTCAAGATACAGAGAGGTTAGAAACTTCCCACAGCTCACACAGGAGGGATGAGGTGAAGTCTTAATCATTATCCTACATTATCCTCTCTTTTCTTGAAGTGGCTAGTCTCATCTTTCTAAATAAGCATGCTGCTTGAAGGTAAGCAAATGACTCAGAAGTTAGGACAACAGAGATGGGATCTCTGGCTGAGCTTCGAGCAAGGTTGCAGCCACCTATGTCTTGTGGATACCAATGCAAGCGGTACTCAATAAACATCTAAGTCCCCTGTTATGTGGAGCCTGGAGAGATGCCAAGGAGATACAGCTTCAAATAAAGACTTAGTGTCTCAGCTGTCAGCTCCTGCATGGTTTTCTTCTGCGGCAGAGAGCTGCCTTGCTCAGTGTCTTGCTCTTCCCAGAATGGCAACATCCAACAATTGATGGCAACAGGGGTATCCTAGTCTAGCCAATTGAGGCCATGCAGGATAACTCTGATTGGCTGAAGCTTGGTCAGGCTCATGTGGTTGTTTGACTTCTCCTTCTGACCAATCCTCCTTCTTCTTCCTTTCTTCTACAGGTGTGGATCTCTAATAATTATCTTGCATCCTAAACTCTAGCTCAAAATCAGCTTCTTGACAACCTAACCTGGGACACTTATGTACTAAGTGAGCTCCTAGCTGCCCTCCATGGAAGGACAGATGATCAGAACACTCTGTTATTCAAAGAAGTCTGTTAGTCTCCCTACGGGAAAGGCTAATTCTGCCCCCCTCCCATCTTTTTCAATGTCATGACCCTCCCAAAAGTTATTATATTTGGGAAGCTCATTGAGGTAAATGAAGGAAGCTGCTTGGGGCTGGGGGGATGAGTCCAGAGTCTCTAACCTGTTGTCCTGTGGGCCAAAGGTATACCTGTTAACACATTCAGGATGCACTGGTCAGGAAGCTCCAGGCCAAGTCAAAGATCATGATGCTCTAAAGAGGCTCCTTTTAAAAAGGAGCACACATACACATGCTCACTAACTGGGGTTTGTTATGAGTACAAAAGTCTTAATTGTAAAAGGCAAAATTACAAAACTTTGATTGAAGAATATCTTTATGACCTCAGGCTAAGAAAGATTTCTTGAATACAAAAGAGCAAATCATAACAAGAAGACTGATAACTGTTCCTACATAAAAAATAAGAACTGTTCATCAAAAGACATAATGAAGAGACTTAGAAAGGCGAACCACAAGCTGTAAGGAGATAGGAGAACAACATAATAATACTAACAAAGCACTCATATTTACAATATATATATAAAAAACTCTAATGAATCAATGAGAAAAAGTCAAGCATTCAGTAGGAAAGTGAGCAAAAGACATGAACAGGCACTTCACAAAAACAGAAATGGCCATAAGTATATGAAATATACATATAAAATATGTGAATATATTTATAATTTGTAATTTTGTAAATAAATAAAAATATAAATATACTCAACCTTATTCACATCCATCCTTTCCATAACCATGGACATACAAGTGTCCAACAGGGAAAAATGAATGAGCTTCTGCTACTCCTGTCAATGTAGATGAATCTTAAACACCCAATGTTAGTGAACAAAGCAAATTACAGAAGAATAAATGTTTGATTCCATTTATATAAATACATGTTTGATTCCATTTTTAAGAACAGGAAAAACTAAATGCATAAGGACAAAACTAGAAAGGAGAACAAGGAAACAGTGAATATAAAATTCAGGCTATGTTGTGGAGATGCCGAGAATGTTCTGTTTCAGTGGTTGGCATCTCACAGGCCAAATCTGGTTCATCATCTTTTTTTTGTACAGCCTGTGAGCTAAGATAGTTTTTACATTTTTAAATAACAAGGAAAAATTAAAACAACATGTTGTGACAGTTGAGAATTATATGAATTTCAAAATTTCAGGGTCCATAAACCAAGCTTTATTGGAATAGAGCGACATCCATTTGTTTATGTATTGTCCATCCTTGTCCATCTCTTCCTACCACCCTCCCCCACAACATACACAACCAATTAGAATACAATTCCCCTACTGGAATACAATTTTCCATGACTTGCTCATGTTTCTGCATGTCTTATGAGCAGAGGCCCTGACTGCCTTTGTTCTGGATTGTATTTTCAAGGATGTTTGCATAACAAGCAGGCTTAGAAGACAGAGACAGTGTTCTCCCCCAGACCAAAAGGCAGGCATTGTAAGTGTTTCAGATTCCCTAACCTTGGGGTTCATCTTCTGTAATACAACCCACTGTGTGAGCAGATACTCTCTGGCCCTCTTTACATCATCTTGTGCAAAGTGAGGCTCAGAAAACCATCTCAAGAAAATGCTGACACTCTGCCTACTGCTATTACTGTGAGCAATAAACCATCCTTGGTTCTGACCCAGGAGAATTGTGTCTTCCACCAGCCTTCATTCATGCATGTGTGGCAGGGTAAAATCTCACACCATGCACCGCCATGTTTCAGACATGAGAAAACTGAAGCCCAGAGAAGGGAAGTGAGTGGCCCGAGATCACTGTATGGATGAGGATCAGCGATAGCACAGGATTGCATATGTTCCTGATGCCCAGTCCAGTATTCATATCCTGCCTCTGGGCAGCTTCTTGGGATCCCTCCAGGCCTCCAAAGGCCCTTAGGACTCTCCCTTGCTTCCCTGTGGTCCTCCTGCACACACTCTGGGCCTTACCTTTCACACTACACTTGAAGGTTTGACTGACCACTCCAGTATTATTCTCCTTCTCCGCTGGCCACTGATATATGTAGACGGTGGTTCTGGAAGACCCGGCATCAAGCACGATCCCGTACTGAACAAAAGGGGAAAGGGAGAGTCAGAAATGGGCTGGGCTTCTCTGAGGGCTCCTTTCCAGTGGGCCACTGAGAACCCGGAATACTCTCGAGAGCTTAATCCACACTGCATCATTTAGGTAGGGGCTGACCAAGGGGAAAAAAAATGATTTCCTCCAAACCAACTTTGTCTCCTTGGACTATGGGGGAATGGAATGGGGTGAGGTGGGTCAGGTATTCTGGGGCATGGTTCTCAGCTTTGGCCACACATTAGAATCACTTGGGGAGTTTCCCAGTTCCAAGGCCACATCCCAGACCCATTAAATCAGAATCTCTGGGAGTGGACGCAGGCATGGGCAGTTTCTAAAGCTCTCCTGGTGACCCCAGTATGCAGCCAAGGTTGAAAATTAGCACTCCAAGGATCTTGCCTATCCCCGGTTTCTTCCTCATCCAGACCTCTGAGGTGGGGGAAAGAAGCCACCTAGGTCTCAGGAGGGAAATGGATAGTCAGTCCCCTTGCACCCTCTATTCTCTAAACTTCCAGGCCCATCAGCCTAGAAATAAACATAGGAAGTTCTCACAAGGGAGAAACACATCAATACCTGCATTAGCCTTCAGAAGGAAAGTATTCATAATTAAGGAGAAAAACCCCAAAATACCAGCTAATGTTGACATACTGTCCCGCTTTGGTAACATGGTACATGAACACACAGACAAGAGGGTGTTACCAGGGCAGTGCCAGGACTAGCTGTGCCCAGGATTGCCGGCTAGGAGTCCTGGACCATCTCCCCAGCTAGAGGCAGGCACCAGGGAGCTTCCCCTGAGGGTCTTGCGCACCCAGGCCCTGGACCAAGCTTGAGCAGGAAAGAGCATGCATTAGCAGCCTCTGGGGATTGGAATGAGTAAAGCTGACTGAGGTCAGTATATGCTTGAACCTGGAGTCAGCCCAGGGCAGCAGAGGCTTCTGGGTCACAGCTCTTCCCCAATTCCACTGCTGTTGGATTAGGCTGCTCATCTCAGTGAGGAAGATGAATTTGGGTTCTGGAGGCAGGGCGACTCAGGTGGATGCTTGCCTTACGACCCTGGGTAAAAGGCCTAAGCTCTCTGGGTTTTCTTATCTTCAGACAATTTAACCTTGAGAAGTAAATAGGAGACCATATGCCTGATACTCAATGGCTGCTCAATAAATACAGGCTATATAGGAAGATCAATAAAGCAAAATAAACAAAATTACAAAGCAAGGAAAAGAGGACAGAAAAGTAAATAACACCCCTAAAATCCCACTATTGTTTTAACACCTTGCTATATATCTTTTCTAATGGACTTCTCTGTATACAGCTACATATATGAATATGTGGTTAGGCATATGTTTTCAATTCAGTACAGGATTACACTGTACATAGTCTTTTCCAATGCTCTTTTCTTATTCAATAAGCGTATCATGCACCTCTCTCCCTGCCAGTAAAAATATGGATATCATCATTTTCAATACATTCCCCACACCTGTGAGATGTACCATAATTTATTTAGCCAATTCCCTGATTCTAGACATTTGGGAGGGTTCCAACTTTCCACTATTAACAAGTGATTGTTTTGTTTGAAATGGGACCAAATAAAAACATGTTGCTCCAGCTCCTCAATCACAGCTTCTCCATTATATCGAGACAGAACATCCTGTGTCCATTTGTATTTGAACTCGGACAGCCTCTCAATCCCAGCCTTCAATGTGATTAATGCCGACGGGGATCCTGACATGACACCCCCTGCAAACAAGGGAGGCATTGTTCACAGCCTGCTCTGGGCAGAGGCTCACTAAGGAAATTAGCGCACAGGTGGAGCTGAAGGAAACAAGGCACTCAAGAGATCTGAGCCTCCCTAACAGTCTGCTTTCTCCCCTCCCACCTGCTGCTGACCCCTTAGGACCCCTCCCCAGCCCCTCCACGCCTGGTGCTGACTAGAGGAGGGAGCGCACATACACGAGAGCAACCACTCTATGGGGTCCCCACCCTTCCCGCATCTTCTGGATCCCAGCTCTTCACAAACAGTGCATTTTCCCTTTGAAGGAAACTTGGGGCTGCTGGGCCAAGATCACGAAGGAGGAAGAAGAGCCGTTCTCATCCTCATCCCGGCTGGGATCCAGTTTTCATCAGGGTGGGAGCAGGCCGAGACGTTCCACAGTGAGCCCGGAGAAGTGGCTGCCCTTCAGGCACCTGCTGATGTGCTGACAGGGACCAGCCTCGAGCCCAGTGCTACTTCTGAGTAACCACCGTCATTCCCTGACATTTTCAAAAATGGAAAAATTGGTATTTAGCCAATTTTCAGAGCTCATTTGCCTAGATCAGTGGCACTCAATGTGGTTTGATGGAGGACATGGGGTGGGGACTGGATTTCATTCAGTTCAGCTAGGTGGAAAGCAATAAGTAACCCTTCTGTCTAATGCAGTGTCAGGGAAAAAACATGGCTAGAATGTGGAACCGAAGGCACACTCAGTGGGTTAACCAAAGGGAAACAGCCTCCCATATGAACCGCATGATCCAAAACTTAAGGACTGTGTGAGCTTCTAACAAAGCGAAAGCAAAGATCATAAGATCAGCTTTCTTAGATTTATTTATTAGTATCATCACCACCACCACCATCATCATCATCACTATTAGCATAATAATAGGAATAGTAGTAATAAACATTTGCTGAGTACTTATAATATGCCAGGCACGACACAAAGTGCTTTACTGTTGCATTCAGAAGGCAGGTGTTGTCATCATTCCCACCTGACAGATGGGGAAACTGAGGCTCACAGAGGTAAATAATTGCCCACAGTCCCAGACTTGGGCTCAAGCCTGGGTCTAACTGACCATCAACCCTATACACAGAGCCCCCATGCTTCCACTGAGTTCCAAGGAAACCAGGTCTCCCAGGGTTGAATGCTTCATAATAAGGTGTGCTATTGCAGACTTTCTTTGTTCAGACAAAAAGTCCCTCAAAAGCAAACTCGTAGTTAAGTAGTGTGCAGATCTGGCTGGAGAGGAGGTGGACCAAAGTGATGAAGGAGTTGTGTCTTTCTGGAAAGGAGGAAACCAATTATCTAATTCTCACTCTCCGAGGGGTAAACCAGGAAGGGCCACAGGGCACCAGAGCCCCAGGCCGATGACTGAGAACCAATGAGGGTTAAAAATGAATGGTTTTAGCACAGCCTGGTCCTGTGGTTGTGCTTTGGAGAGTTAATGGCCAAGCTAGGGAGTGTGACTCAACATGGGGAGCTAATGTGACCCGAGAGGGACTATGTAGACCTCTCTTCAACAGTGACGTCATGTGTCCATAAGGGACAATGGCAATGTGATACTGATCATATCGGACTGGGAAGCCACAGGGCTTCTAGACAGTTGTGAGTGGGGGTGGGGAGGGCAAGGTCTCAAAAGGAAGATACTAGACTTAATGATAATAAAGCAAGGGGGGGCCTGAGTGAAAAAGAAAAGTGATACCATCATATTTACTCTTCAGGCTGGTAGAGCAGGTCAGACCAGTAACAATGAAAATGGAACTAGGGACATTTTGAGCCTTGACTAAGTTTTAATAGTTCTGCTATTCAACTCAGATAAACCAAGGTTAGGTAAGCCAAGGCTGGATTTAACAGCCAGCTATCCTGATTGGGGTCTTAAGGAACATTCCAGGTCCCCCCAAATAGGCCATTGTGGAGCTGGCCCCTCATAACCAAATATCAGCTGCACACAAAGGCAAAACAAACTTCAAGGTATGAAAACAGAACAATTTAAAAGCCCTTGAATGATCAGCTTCACTTCCACAACTGCCTTTCCCATCCTTAGCACACACTGCAAAACAAAAGAAAGAGGCTTGTCCTCACTCTGAAAAGAGCTGCATGTGCAATGTTCTTTCAAGTGGCCATTCTGCTCTTGGTTCCACCGGCTCAGAACATCTGTCTTTTCTCACATTTAATCCATCCAATTAAGCAGAATGGGTCTCCTGAGTCAGTATTCCAACATTCTACAACTTCCTCTCCCCTACAACTGTGACGGGGGCCTGACGACAAGATTTGAGGAGATTAAAAATCCCCTTTGAACTGTGTGCTAATGGGTGAGGGCGTGTCTTCTTTCCAGTCCTTCTAAACCCTTGTTTAAGGCCAACATTCTCTGTTCTCTTTTGTTTCTTCTGCACCACGTCTGCTATTTCCAGTCTGTGTAACTCTGAGAAGCTATCTGCCCTTTCTGTTCCTCTACTTTTTCATCTGCAAAATGAGGATAACAATAACCATATCTACGTGGAACAGTCGCTGAGGGTTCCCTGCCAACATCCCTCAGGCCTTACCATGGTGATGCCCAGCCATGCACTTTCCACCTGCCTAAAGGCTTTCTGCAGTGGCCTGAGCCCACCTGAGCATACACTGTGCCAGAAACATTAGGGAGTGGATGTCTTCCAAGGAGCAGCCGCTCAACCAATGACTAGCAGAAGTTGGTGTCTAAGTATGTCCTTGAGTGGGATACCTGTGAGACAGGTGTTCAAGATGCCCTTTGGTAGAGGACAACCCTGGGATGGGTTCTATACTGGCTCCCAGAGCTCCTCTGCAGGACCCTGGCTTCTGGAGTCCCAGGCATCACAGCTTGTTCTAGAAGGGGAAGCATGGCTCTGGGTTAGCACATTCCTTTGTGCCGTGGAGACAGATAACCCTGGAATACAACTAGAGCTGGTTCTTCTGAAATATGGGGTGTAGGAGTGGTTCCTGGGGTCTAAGAGGGCTATTAGCTTTCCCCCCATTTGGGGGATACTTCCATTTCCCAGTTCAGCAAAACTTCCTGCATCTGCACCCATCCTCCCCACCTTCCGTCCTGTGCAAAGGAGGGTAAGTTCTCCTATTAGAGGCAGTACCTTCTCCTGGGGCTCCCTTTCTGAATGTAGGATCAGGGAGAAGAGGGAGGTGAGTGAAGAAAACCCTGGCCTTGGGAACAGGAGGTACAAGGTTTCAGTTCTAGTATGCCATTCACTGGCCAAACCTATGATTTCTCACTTGCAAGATGGTGGTGACAATGCTTGCTTTGTCTCCCTGCTATAGCTGCCACAAGAGAAAAGAGAAAATTCAGGGAAAAGTGTTCACTAAACTGAAGAGCAGTTTACAAAGTTTAAGGAGATGGTATTACTCCCAGTTGCAATCCTAATTTTCTATAGTCTATAGAAGAAGGCAGGGCCTAGAGCTTGGAAAAATGGCTCCTCTAGGCCTTGGCTAATGTCTTTGGACAACCAGATAATTTGTTTTCCATCATCACTGGACAGTTGTATTAAGGTTTCTTTTTTTTTTCTTTTTTATTCCTGTTTTTCATGGGGGAGTGTTGAGATTCTTAAGTAAAATGTCCTATAAAAGAGCCAAATGCCATTATCTAAAGGAGATTTTACTTTAATCTTTCAGAAGAGCAGCCTCAGAATGGTAGGTCAAACTCACCCACAAAGCTGAGGCAATATTCGTTTCTTTTTTATCTTTTAAAAACTTTAAAAACTTCTATTTCAAATATAGCCTTTGAACAGTCACTAAGAGCAGGAAGATGTAGAAAGGACTCATGAGGTCAAGGGTAAAGGCTAAATGAGATTCAGATAACAGTTGAATTTCTTGGCTCCTATGGCCTACTAGCTAAGAAGTGTTTTTACATTTTTAAAGAATCATAAGAAGACAAAAAAAAAAAAGATATGTGACCGAGACTATAAATGACCTTCAAAGCCTAAAATACGTACTATTTAGTTCTTTACAGAAAAACTTTGCCAAACTCTACCCAAATGACTGAAGGATTCCTTTCCCTTTCATTTGACAAGTCCCTCATGGGATCACCTCCCCTCAGCCTTACAGCCAAGGCTGGTGGGATACATATTGTTCTCAGACTGTCAGACAACATCTGAGAGGCCATATGGGGACAGACTTATCAAGGGCTAAGAGTAGCTTCTGAAAGTGAGCATAAGACCCTGAGTAATTTTTCAAGGGGAAGAGTTAGAGAGATCATGGCACACTTCTAGACTCAAGAGAGGCAGCACAAATACAGCTCAAGGAGACCTTTTCAAGTCCTTGATGTTTTGTTTACCAGGTTAGGCCAGAAGAGGAGGCTGGGTCTCCTGGTCTCCACTCATGATCAGGGTTGTGTGGTCTTGGGGGAATGCACAAGCTGGTAGATCTTTGGTAGCCATCTGCAATTCTTGGCTACAAAGTCTAGCTTTGGTTCCAAGAGTCAGGAGTTAAAGCAAGGCCACACAGTCCTTAGAGAAGGTGTTACCATTAACATTCTCTAGTGTCAAACATCACAAAACCAGTATGTCCAGAGCTCCTCCCTTGGGTCCTACACCAAAGACCCTTAGGTTCTCCCTTGGGTCTTCCCCAAGGGAGGTGGGGAAAAGGGTTTTCTTCTAACTCATTGCATTAGAGTAATTGATGTCATAGCCCATCCCTTCAGTGCCAATCCCTTTATACTTACCTTCAGTCCTGGAAGGAGGACCTCTTTGTGGTGAAACTGGATGAGTGTGATGACCACAAGCACCACAACACTCAAAAGCAAGACCACCAAGGCGATGATGGCTGGGGTTCGGGAGAGGGCCTTGAGGCCTAAAATGGGAAGACCCAGAAGACACATGAGGGGAAAGTAGGAACAAGGCACTGGCTTTCTTTGTAGAATCCACAGACTGGATGCATAACTGTGTGCATACGTCACTTCCTCTGGCTTTGGTGAGACCCACACTTTTAAGGTGGAGCAGTGATTGGGCTCCAGTACCCATTTATCTTTCCTCCAAAGAGTGGACTGAGACAACATTTGCAGAGAGGGTGCGCATAGTTTAGTTTCCTGGTATCTCCCCAGATGTGTTATGCATACTACTGGTTGTCCCCGAGATGATTTACAGTAACATTTATTTCAATGTAGATTAAAAAAATATGGGTTTTCTATTAAAGCAGGCGATACAATATTTCATTTAAAAATAATATCAGATAAAAGAAATTAATTCTATACTTCAGATATAATCAACGATTATAAAGTTCAGTACACAGTGGCATAATGTTATGCAAATAGTAACATGTACGAGTTTCTAAAATATTTGGGTTGCCAGTAAGAAGTCAACCTCAGGCAATTTTTCTGTGTCTACATTGAAGGCATATAGGGTCTCCTACATCTTCACAAAGCACAGCTAGACCTCAAGCCACATGTTCCTCCCAAAGGGGTCATATCATCTCTGGCCTTTGTATTTTAATCATAACATGTAAACTATACCCATTTAAAAGCAAAATAATAATAATAACGAAGCCTATGAATAATCTTCAACTAAATACACAGCCTCTGAATAAAGATAATTATGTCTGTATTGTATAAAAGTATATAATTACCATAATGGACTATGTCTATGTATTAAAGTTAAACTAATACTGCTTAACTAGATGATTTTGAACAAATATTTACTTGGGTCTTACCAAACCAGTGTGGGCTAATGGAAATTTTATAAAGTAGCAAATACATTTTTTTAAAAGAGAAACAAACAAATACTGTTCTATACTGAAATGACTTCATTCATGTGAAGTTCTAAAACAGACAGGTGACAGAAATCAGAACAGTGACTGCCCAGGGGGTTGGGAGCAGGGACTCACGGGGAAGGAACACAGGGGCACTTTCTGGGGTCACAGAAATGCTCTATATCTTCCTAGAATTATGGGGTATATGGATGTGATTTGTCAAAATTCATCAAACCTTTCAAAGTCCTTTGAGGAAAACCTGAAAATCCAAGTAAACTAGCTCCTTAGGTACAATTTCCTTTTACAAAAGAAGATATGTAGAAATTGCCCCTACCATCCTAAAATTATATCTTCTTAGAAGACAAGAATGCCCAGTTTGGGGGCAGGACTAAAGATCATCTGTCCAGGGTCAGGAAGGGGGTTATATGTAAGCACTCTCCTGATCACAGTTGTGCGGCTGCCCATCCTCTGCGCTTCAGCACTTTTCAGGTAAATAGCTATGATTACCTTCAGCAAACCCTGGCCCCAGCAGAAAAGCCTCTCGCAAAACAAAAGGGACTAGACCAGGTCTCATTCATTTAGGGAATGCAGCCCAGAGCTGTGCTGTCATTAGGAGTGAACAAACACTGTAATTACAAGGTGTCTACCTGAGAGTGGAGAGGCCAGACCATTCTGGGCTTCCACATGAGCAACTGCAAAACGTGCTCCAGAGGCAGGCAGGGCAAGCTTGGCAGTGTGTGTGTGTGTGTGTGTGTGTGAATTCTACGCATGTGCCTCCGCTAGCAAGGGTAAGAACGCTGACCTAGGGTGGGGGTGGGGAGTGGGGGACACTGTAGGTCCTGTGCCAGCAACAACACTGGGATGCAAGTAGAGGACAGATCTAAGTACTTTATAATTCATTACAAAATCCACAATATTCTCGAGCAAACCTCACACACAGGGAAACCACAAACGGCCAAATTAATGGATTATGCAAACAGGAAAAACCATTTAAGCGAAACATGCATGTTAGTCCTTGTTTTGTGTAGCTTTGATCAAAAGCATTACTTCTACCTGAGGAATGTTGGTGGTGAAAGCCTGGTAAGCAACTGAGCCTCAAACCACAGACGTTAAAACTATTCGCAGGGACCACGCATGAAGAACTGTGGGCTGAAGCCGGGACTGTGACTTGAGAATATCACACTGGCTGCCGGCTGCGGGATACTAACCTGCTTGCTCACAAGGTTGGCGGGTCAGCACCGTGAACATCTTTCCTCCCAAACTGTAGGCAAGAGAACACACAATGACAGTGTATCGCTGGCCCCCTGACTTCAGTTCCAGAACCTTGCGGTATTAAGCCTAATTTGGGGGCACGACTAAAGAACATCTGTCCGGGGTGAGAGGGGGGTGATTACGTAAGCAATCCACGCGGCTGCCTCTTGGTCCTCAGTTTTCAGGTAAAAAGCTAATGACTACCATAAGCAAACTCTTGCCCCAGCAGAAAAGCCTATCACCAAGCAAAACCCGCTTTCAATCCACTTCTTCCAAATCGAAACCTTTTGGGCGACAGATAAACCGAGCCCTTCGGATATAAACCCAAAGCTGGGTTTAAATTCTGGTGTCAACTCCCTAGATGTAAGAAAAAGAAGAACAGGTTTGCTGAAATTTTAAACTGAAAATTTTCAAAAAATAAGTCAATCATTTCTTGCAGATTTTTTCCACCTGTACACACCGACCGGGGCAGAAGAAATCTTCCACCTCTTAGTAACAACATTCACAGGGCTGAGGCAGGGCTTTTCTTCAAATCACAGCAGCAAGGGAGGTTTCGGTGGGTGTTGGCGACCCACGAGCCCGGAGTCGCCCCTGAAAGATCTAGGAGGGGTATTTTTAGCTGCTGGCTGGAAACGATTGCAAGAGGATGTCGGGCCCCCGGGATACAACGCCCCAGGTTCTGGGAGGCCCTGCTCTGGAACTGCGTCTCCACACAGCCAGGATATCTAAGCGCCAGCGCATCTCCGGAGCCGCAGATGCGCTCGGTGAAGACGCGTCCACCTCTCCCGGCTTGGTAAGGACCACCTCCCCGCCGACCAGGATTGGGACGCGCGCCCCTCGGTCCCTCCCTACGGCCGACTACGGAATCCGATTTTGTTTCCTTCCCTCCCAGCTCCCAGCCCCACGAAGCTTCCCGCTCGTTCCTCAGCGGCTCGGGCGCAGGGGTCCCCGGTCCTCACCTGCGCGCGGACGGTCAGAGGAGGGCGAGCGGCTCTGCCGCAGTGGCAGCCGGCGGCCAGCTCGCGGGAGGCTCTGCGGAGGCAAGGGAGGCGGGGCGGCTCCGGGGCGGGGCGGGGCGGGGCGGGGGCGGGACAGCCGTTGCCGGGGTCCATCCCCTCGGCCGGGTCAAGGCCCAGCACCTATGCTTCACCTTCCCTCTTCCAGTCTTTTCCACCCCAATCCCTCCCGGGGCCTACCTGGGCAAGGCCAGGAGGGTGTCCACTGCCTGACTCCCTCTTCCATCGATGCCAAGACCAAGGACCCTTTGATCTCTCTTTTGGTTTCCTCCATCCTCCCCACGAGCCTACGTGGAGGGGGAGTGGGGGCAGGGCAGTGTAGAACCTGGGTACTTCGTGGGTATGCACAGGTGGGCCCTGTGCCCCATCTTTCCGTGGAGTGGAGGCCGATAAACACCTTATGTTGGGCATGAGGCTAGCAGGCACACTGGTCCCTGAATCACCTGAGCCAGGAGAGCAAAGTAATACAGAGATGTTCCCTGTCGTATAGTTTAGACCAACTGCCTTAGCCACGGCCCAGGACTGCTCACTGGTTACTCAGCAGTGTCCTCCCCTACCCCATTTTATGTGGGTATCATTAGGCTAAGATTCAGGACAAGCTCTTCCTGGAAGAGCCAAATAGGACAAAAATGTAGCAACTCAAATGCTCGAGTCTTGTTTTTAATGCATCAGCAGGTGGCTCTTTTGGCTCCTTTGAGTGACCTCAAGGACTCTTGGAATGATCCACCAAGAGGCCTAAGTAGGGTTCTGTTGGACCACCCCTCCTTGTGGGTCCTGAATAGCTGGAAGGAAGAACTAAGGTCTGGGCTATGTCCTGGGCCTTCCCGTTCTCCTGGAGAGCTAGACCCTATATACCACTAGTCTCCTGTCCTGTGCAGATAGGGCCAAACCCACTAAGAGTTCCGGGGGACTTTCAGAGAAGAATGCTCCTGATTTGAGACCTCTGAGCCCAGAGACAAGGGCTCCAAGCTGTGTGTGTGTGTGTGTGTGTGTGTGTGTGCGAGCACCACTCACCCTGAGTTATTTGAAATGGACCCTTGCTGGGAGATTTGTACAGGGTCTGCGATGGGGATGTGTAACAGTCAGTGAATGCTTGCTGAATTACAAGACTTACTTTCTTTGAAAGCTTTGGGTCAATGAAAGGTAAGGCAACTGACCGAAAGCTGACGGATCTCTGCACCCAGGGGGCCATAAGCCCACAAGCAGCTGCTGATGCTCTACCTACACCAGAGGTCAGTGACTTTGGTTCTAAGAAGTGAACGGCTGACTTTAACATCCTCAGTGATTCCCCAGGAGCTGACAGAAGGTTCCTGGGCTTAAGAGGCCTTAAAATGCAGTTGGTGCTAGTTCTAAAAATAACAGAGATCAGTCCATGTTACCAGCTTTCTTCTTTGCTTCCTTTAATTTAGAGGCTTTGTAAGTGTGAGCACCAGCCTCCTTTGAGAGATCTATGGTCTCCTTTATTTTTCCAAACTTCCCTGGGGACTCTCTGCTCCAGGTACTGTCTCAAACTCCTTTGCAGGTCCCAAACTACTCCTAGTCTTTCAAAGGCACTTCTCCATCCACTCTCCATGCGTGAGAACACACACTCACACACACACACACACACACACACACATTTCCCCATCAATCCTCCACACCTAGAAGCAAACACATACACATGTATGTGTATGCAAACCTTTATGGTTTTTCTTGATTATGAAATGATACAGATGTGTCTTACCAGATATCAAACCATACTATAAAGTTACAGTAATTAAAACAGCCTGGTTTGGGCACAGGAATATACCAAGAGATCTAAAGAGACAGAAAAGAGATAGGCCAATATTTGAGTAATGGATATGGGATTTAGTTTAACATAAAGAGGAGATTGAAAGAACACATTTCTCAACTGAATTGAGAAAAAAATCCCAATCACTCGTCAGTCACAGAAATAGATTTTAGATAGATAAAAAGTTTAAATGTAAAAAGAGGATTTAATATCCTAAGAAAATATAAGAGGACATTTTTATGATCTTTGGGAAGGAACAGCCTCTTCCAGCATGAAATCAAAGCAGGAAGACAAAGTCAACAACAATCTCGCAGGAAAAAAAAAAAAGTAAAACAGCTGCATGGAAAAAGACATCTTCAAAAAAAAAAGATAAATTGTGGGGAAGTATGTAAGAATGTGATAGCAAAGAGTGAAAAATCATAATGTATAGTGAGGTCATGCCAATCTAGAAAAATAGGAATATCTAGAATAGGAAAATGGACAAATAACACAAGAAATATAAAAGGCCAGGAAACATGGCAAAGATGCTTAATCTCATTACTTACCCCCAAATTGCCAATGAAAACTTTGACATCTTTAAACAGGACTTTTCTTGACTGATCAGTTTAGCAAAGCTTGAAAAAGATCTGTGGTGCTCTGTGTTGGAGAAGGTGTGGGGGAAACAGTCCCCACTTGAGGCTTCTGGGAGGTGACATGCCCTGATTTTCTTCCCACCTCTCCGGATGCCCCCTACATGCTTTTTGCTGGTTTGTGCTCCTCTCCCAAGAGTTTCTTAAGATTCTGTCCTGGGCCCTCTTTCTTCCTCACTCTGTACCCCCTTTCTCGGTAATCTCATTCCTGTCCCTGTCTTCGGTTCTACTCACGGAAGCCTTTTGAATGCATGTGTCCTGCTCGGGCTTTTCCTCTTGAGCTGTAGACCTAGTGAATGGTCTGATTTCTTTTGGGTGTCTTAGAGGCATCTCAGTTTCATAGGTCTCCAGCTGAGCTCCTCATCCTCCTCCAGCAAACCATCAACTTCTCCAGAGTTTCTTGTTTCAGTGGATGGCACCCTCACTCATTCAAGTGAGCAAGTCAGAAAACCGAGGGTTCTCTTTGCTAATCGTTCCCTTGTCCCTCATCATCAATCAGTCACTACGGACTGCTGGCTTTACCCTCCTAATTATCTCTCCAATGTGTCCCGCATCTCCGCCACCACCACAGCCTGAGCCAGGGTTTGTTGATCTAGGTACTATTTCTATTTCAGGCCGGGGGCGGGGGGGCTCTTTGTGTGTCTTGTAGGATGTTTATTTAGTGGCATTCCTGACCTTAATTTGCTAAATGCCAGTAACATCCCCACACACTGTGTGACTCTCAAAAGTGTTCCCAAAGATTGTCAAAGGTCTTCCGAGGGGTGAAATTTCCCTGGTTGAGAACCACCGGCCTAAACTACCGCTCTCCTTCTCCTGGATGTTGGCAATGGTCTCACTTAGCTTTTGGTATCTACTTTCTCCCTTTCACATCCATCTTTTCCACTGCCACCAGCCTCATCTCTTTAAAACACAAATCCCACCCTGTCAACCTCTCCTTAAGAAACTTCTGTGCTGTCCATTCCTCAGTGGATGCAGATTCAAATCCTCAAGGTGACCTAGAAAGCCCTGCACTGTCTGGTCCCTGCTTCCCTCTTGGGGCTTATTTGAGCCACATCCTGCTCCTCGCTTTATGCCCTGAGGGCATACCAGCCTTCCTTCAGTTTTTCAAATATGCCACAGGGCCTTTGCACAGAACTTCCTTGGCCCATGGTGTCTGTCCCTTCTTCCATCCTTCGCTAATTAGCTCGTGTTTATTCTTTCATTCTCAGCTCAGAACTTCATGGATAGCTCCCGACATTCCTCAGTCCAGGTCGCACATCCAACATGAGTCAGGCCCTCAGTGGTGTGCTTCCTCCACAGGCATTCCTTTCCTTCAGCTGGTGTTTTATTATGATAATTGTCGGGCGAGTGGCACCTGTTGCCTCCCACCAGGAGCAGCAGTCCCAGAATGTCAAGCCCCTGCATAGTTTGCAGGTGTTGGGGTTGCTGGGAGAGACATGACTCACACAGGCTCTGGGGGAACAGCACTTTACTCACATAGAGAAGAGACAGAGCAAGATTTGCTTCAATAGTCGGTGTCTGTCTCCTCCGCTCAGCGGGTCTTCCCGCCCGGCCAACACAGGGAGACGGTCTGCACGCACATCCCCTTTGCACTCCCGGCCAAGGACCCCATGTCCTCCCCCACAGGGTCTGAAAAACAGAAAGCTGAGGTCACGCCCGAGGGCCTTTGACCCACGCTGAAGCAGAACAAAGAACGACACCTGTTCAAACGTGGGACAGGAAAACACTCCAGGGCCGAGAGCCATACCCAGCACAGGTCTGAAGGGCTCTTGATCTCTTTGTAAGGGAACGCTGCCCTCCTGTGTGGGAAGCTAGGGGCTGCGCATGACTGCCTTTCCCAGTGGTAATTTCAGATTTAGTTTGTTTGTGCCCACTAGACGGTAAACTCCGTGCAAGGAGAAACCGTACTATTCTTATTTGCCATTGTATTCTCACTGCCCAGCACACTGCACCTGGTGAGCACTCAATGAACATGTGTTGAATAAACACTCTTTTACAAATTAAGAATATTAACCCCTTGACT